CGTTGGGGGCGACGATCCAAGCGGCGACGGTTTCACAGGGGACTTTTGGGCAGGCGGCCGCGCGGAAGGGGGTCTCTTCGCAGCAGGAGGTTTGCTAGCAAGTTGAGGAGAAGAGTCCGCTTTGATTATAGGGTCCGGCTGCTCCACCTTGGGGGTCGGCACATGTGACAGTTCCCTGTTCGAAGCTGTCTCGACCGGCTTGCTGGCAGGCTTGGTTTGTGGTTGAAGTTTGAAGGGCTCTGCCGGTGGCTTCTCTGCGGACGAGGCGTCAGGCATATCCGTGTCGTCCTCATCAGAGTCGTGTACAAATTCCGCTGATTTAAACTTGGTATCCGGTTTCCCGGCGGGTTTCCGCTCAGCCTTCTTTGTCACACGACCGGTCAATGTACTATTTGCTGCAGCCTTGACTTTGGGGGTCGAGCGCTTCAGCGGAGTATCCTTGTCACCAACCCGCTTCTTGGCCACGGTAGGCACAGACCTGGGAGCTGATGTAGGCTCCCCAGCTCTGGGGGTGAGGCCAGATGCACTGCCTTTGTCGGTATCTTGGCCGGTGGTGTAGCCGTCTTTGCCATTGTCATCGGACGGTTGCACTTGTATCCGAGGGGTCAGGGCCTTCTTAATGGGGCCTGTTCGCAAGTCCAGCCGCGAAAGGCACTTGCCCTTACCCCGTTCCTCTTTCGGCAGAAGCATCTGCCAGAGCTTGTCCGAGCGAGAGATCCGCATGCGATCGAATGCAGAGATAGCATTGTCAATTGCCTCCTGCCGGTCCTCCTGAGACGGGTACGGAAACTTCCAGACGTCGAGATCTTTGTAGGATTTATCTCTCAGGTCGTACTTCTCTGGGTTGATTCGGTTCTCCAGGCCATATTTCCGGGCCAATGTCTCGCAGTCTTCGAGGGAGGAACGGGTCTGGCGCGCCAGGAACTGGGCGGACACGGCGCGAATAGCGAGGAGGTGGATGAAGGGGACCTTGAGGGCTTCGAGGCGAATCCGGTCTTTATTCTGAGAAAGAGGTGCAGAGGTGGGCGTGAGAGGGGTGAGGGGACCTCCCGGAGACCGAGCCACTCCCAGAGCCGGGCTCGACGATACCGACCGATTGGCAGCAGTGAGCAATCGGTCTTTCTCCAGTTCGACCTTGCTGCGAGCCAGGCGGGCGGCCTGCTTGCCGGTGCTAGACCGACTGTCCCCCGCCCGGAGAGCTCGTACATCATCACCAGCATTGATGAAGTGTGTTTTGCCCTTTCCCCTTTCAAAGGCATTCAAGCTTTGCTCGAGGTTGGCCAATGCCTGATCTGTGGCTGCGGTAGCCTCTTTGGCCTTCTGAACCTCCAAGCTATGACTCAAAACACCCGAAAAATATAGGTTCTCTTTATCAGCGGCATTGCTAGTGTAGAGCTCGGACCGGTGCGTTTCGAGACGGGAGTGGAACGAATGGGATTTGGTGCCGTAGTGGAGGGACGGATGTTTTCCGAGGCGAAGCCGAGCTGTTTGGTCGTTGCGAAGGCTCTGAATAAGTTCGTCGAGTGTGCTCTGCGCGAGATTCAATCGCATTATTTGAGGTGGTTTGGCTGCCGCATCATTGCTGTGGTTGTCTCGACGGAGAGACAACCCGGTCTCGGGAACCTCCAGGGCGGACATGAGGCCGTAGGAGAAACAATGCGGGTTGAGGGAGAGACAAGAGACGTTCGACAGGACGAAAGGCGTTAAAAAGATGTTGACAGTGGGTAGTAGCTGAGAGTGTGAGCTCCTCTCGTCTTCAGGATCCGAAACAGAGGCGGATGGCAGCGTGAGTGCTGCAGGTCAGCGGCCGAATGCACGGGAAGGCGAAGCAAGACAATCCGCCATAGATCGAGTAACAAAGAGTGGGAAGAGGATTGGAGGAGTCTGCAGGCTATAGAGCAAACGGGAATGGAAAGTTAACAAGACCCATGGCAAGGAGGTTGGTCTTGTAGTGACTAGGTATGTTTTTTTTTTTTTTGATAGAGAGCGTCACAAGTGGGAGGAAAGGAGGAAGGAGGGGGAGGAGAAAAAGAGAAAGAAAGATGAGATGAGATGATGCCAAAGGAACGGGGATGCGAGTGTAAGGCGGCCTTGGAGCGGAGAGCGTAAAGAGAGCGTCAGGACCAGAACTAAGAAGTGGGGAGAAAGCGAAGGGCGGTATGGTAATGGAAAACCAGGTATTGTACCTTTTTATTTCCCTTTTTCTTTTTTCGTTTTATTACTCTTTGGGCCAAGGATTGTAGAAAGAGATCCAAAGAGAGTGAAGGAGGGTGTGTCAAGGGCCCACTGAAGGTTAATGAAATCACCCGGCAGAGAACAATAGTCAGGAATTAATTAAGAGCTTTCAAGGGAAAAGAACCATTAATAATAATAGCACCTTTGAGAGGGTAGAAAAAGGCAAGGCATTATTATTATTTTTTTTCTTTAAAAAAGAACCACTAACTACACCCGACCAGTTGAGACTAGGAGAAGGTTAGGTACGAACTAAACCTGAGCATCAGCATACGGTAGGTGATTAGGAGCCATCCCATCCATCATACGAAGCTCCAATCGAAAATTACCACTGTTGTGTCGAATAATTGCCTAATGCCTACCAAATGATATTATACTACAATAGCATTCTATTCTCACTACTTGAAACCAAAACGATTTCCGCCACTAGGATCAACTCAATCAAAATGGGCAGATTTATTGTACAGTCTTGTTGCATGCAAGATTCAAAGCAGCACCCGAAAGACAATCATCCCGGGAGACAAAAGAGGCGGAGAGAAGAAAAGGAAAAAGTGGGGAAAGATCTCAACGCAAGGCGAAGATCCCTAGGCTTTCATTCCTTTACTATGGCATTCCCAAAAGGGCCTAAGAGGAGAAGATGAGAGAGAGGTCTAAGCCTGCCTTTGAAGTACCATATTGCTAGTCATTTAGAAAGAAGTTCTCCTCTTTTCAGTGATCTCCAGTCATCATCGGTTCGATTGTCTAAGCTGGAAGACAACAGCGCGGAACAATGACTGTTCATCAAGGTTGATGAATGCGAGGGGGGGCGCTGAAGGTTAGAGCAGCCACTAGTCATTGGCAATGTATGGACTTGAGAATTCCCCAGCCCTGCCCTTTCTCCAGATGGTCCCCAGAAGGAACGAGCCTGGAGGCCTGGAGAGAAAAAGCAGACTTCCCTTCTCGACCTCTAAATTCGACAGTGGTAGTCAAATCCTTGACGGGCGGAGAAGGGATGCGTGGATGCGTGTAAGGTACTCCGTACTCATAGAGGTTAAGCTAGGTAAAGCGGGTATTCGGGGCATACCGTATCATGCCTCAGAGCTGGAGTTACTGGTAACTTACAGTCTGTAATCTCGTATCATCAGTATAACCGCCCCGATCTGAATTGAATTCAAAAAGGTCGGGTTCTGGAACAATTGATCCCTACCAACGATCAGTCCGCAAGACAAGATGGATAGATCGCATTGGTTGATGGACTTTCTTCAACGACGGTCTTTTTCTTCTTCTCCTTATTCTTTCATTTCTTATGTTGCATCCTCCCATTGTATATGTGTATGTGTGTGTTCATATGTGTGTGCAGGATCTTGAAGGAAGCCACCCTTCTGAACCTGTTTCCCTCTTTGCTCTCATGAAGCTCAGTCAGAAAGAATGTATGATCTCATCGCCCGGCGGTCGAGTGACTGATTTTTGAACCTTTCTTTTTTTGACGTTTCCCAGGGCCTGAAAGCCTATCTTGGCGCACCAGGTGGGTTGAACTTGGAACCAATTTACTCGGTACGGAAATTGATTTACAGTACCTTACCAGACGTGCTGTGACCAACTCCGACTTGTACGACCCAAACTGAGCCAACTCCAGTGGTGTGGTGTGCTACATGTACGGAATGAAACGGTGCTGCCGGGAATCAAGGTCCTGTGCCTTGACTACTTTGGGTCTCCGTTGCTAACTCAGCAGGAGACCAAGCGTGAGTGAGCGTGTGCGTGCCTCTCTTTTTCTACGCCATGGCCATGTCTCCTGCCATCGGGCGCCCCACTACCATCGGACAAGAATGATAGGTCTCCGGACAATCCAAGCCCACCTTTCTGTCTGCCTGCCTTCGTTACCTATTGGATCAAAGAATCATTGAATCCTCCGTCCTAGGAAACAAAGGCTCAAGAGCCTCCTTGTTGTACAGCTTTATGGCCTTCCTTGGGTTTAGAATTTGAATGACAACGACGAATAAATCAAGAAGGACCCGGAGAAGTCAGAAGAATCCTGCACAAAAGTGGCGCGGGGCCAGATGCCGAAATCCAGATTCAGCGGTGGTATCAATTCCATGGGACCTCTTCTATGTCTTGGCACCGAGGGAAGGATGTTTGGCCAATGCATGTCATTGTATCCGGGAGCTATGTTGGGTGACACGGGGTGAAGGACATTACCGTGTAGTAATAGAGAGCAGAAAGAAATCACTATGGACATCGCAGTGGCGAAGGGGATTTTAACATACTACTTGTGAGCCGGACAAAGGTAGGCAGAAGGACAGCCAACAACCCAGCATGGATGATGTTAAGTTGACGGTCACATTAACTGGAAGAGCTGCTGCTCCCTCCTATTCAGGGTATTTGTTTCAGAATTGAGGGTGGTTTGGATTTCCATGGTCAATTGACGGACCATCACCCGTCGTCATCGGCAGCCATCCCATGATTGATTAATACCAGGTACCAACGCTGTCACAGGATCACATAACCTCATTTGAATCAGTGGTTCAGCGTGACGGTAGATCATCCGCCGGCCAGCCTCGACCCTTTCCCACCCAAGCTTTTTTGGGTTTCGCCTCCCCCAAGAAAGTCAGAAGGGGAACCGAAAACACGCGCAACATCTCACAGCCTCAAACAGAAAAGAAAAAGGAAGGAAGGAAGGAAAGAGAAAGAAAGATTATAAGTCTTCATATCATGCGGAACAGGCGGCAACAGTGACAGAAAATAGCTTGGTACGGAAAGCACAGGTTGACTGATGGTGTTCGGACTTGGGATTAACTAGACGACTGACTAGAGGTAATAAACCACACGAGTTTCCCCGTCGGGTTGAACAACCCGACCCGGGACCAAGTCACGGGGAGGGTAGAACAGGTAGCTGAGTGATAGGTCCGACTTCATTTACGGGTAGTTATATACTCTTACAATCGTTTGGCAGGGTAGGTTGCAAGGAGGGCAGGCATGGTTACAGCCAGTAGCGAGTGATGCCGCATTGATTGATCGGATGCAGCAGTCGCTAGATCGCGGAAGCAGACTGGTTGGTAGACGGCAAATGGCCCTGCTAAGATCCCAGCCCTCAGTGTGCAGCACGTCGGCCGAGGCCTAACCGAAACAGACCTACCGGATGATCCTTCGTCTGAGAAGTTCTCTCCAGAAATCCATTGGATAACAGGTCTCCCAGCTACTAGTAATGGCAGTAGTAGTAGTCAGACGAGGGGATCATGGTTAAGGCACGGCTGATCAAGACAAGAAAGGACGGAGTGTCAGATCGTAGGGAAATAACAAGACCGCAAGAGTTTCATCAACGAAAGAACTATTGGCTCGCGTTTACCCAGAACCGGATGGGCCAATCTCTGATCATTCCGGTTCAGTAATGAAGGGATAGTTGGAAGATTAGCCACTGCCAAACTGCTAGTCAGTCCGGAGAACGGATAGCTGACTGATGACGGTTGCCGCCTTTCTTCCCGATTTCGGCAGCAGACGAGTTATAGGTTCAAGTTGGTTGCAAAGCCATTTCATTGACCGTGCATCTATCCCAAAGAGCAGGTTTTGGCTATTGAAGGAGAAGCAAGCTGATCCAGAAGGAGTAGATAGTTAGTAGTAGTTGAGCCCACTTTAAGTGCAAAGTGACTAAGGTCAGTACATAGAGGTGGGGAAAGAATGCGCACAGGCACCCGGACCTCCAAACCCTTCGTGGTACTCCGTAAATTGCCAACATTGGTACGGAGTAGAGTAAATGTGTAAACGAACCGACGCGAGAGACCCCGCGTGTAAGTACAGAGATACTTACAGTATGGTCCTGCAGGTGCGTTTTCCACATCTGCTTATAGTTGATGTTCGCACCTTGCTGGACAACTGGATCGTCCTTGAGCTGCGTGTCAATGATTGGCGAGGCGCTCCACGTGTGATATGCCTGCAATGCGAAGAAGGAGAGGGCAAACAAAGCACTGTGCCAGAGCAAGATGGAATTTTTCGTAGTCTTTAAGGAGTTACTCGTAGTTCTTACTGTGGTAAGTGTGTATTCTAAATGAGAGAAAGTGCCTAACATTTGCCACTGCCGCCGAGAGAAACCACCATTGAGGGTAAGATGGGCCCTGCCGTGAGCTTTTTTGCCTTACTACTCGACTTCCTACGATGCGTATCGCAGCAGGTAGACAAACACACTCTATCTTCCAGTCTTACTGTTGTTGCTGTGGCTGAACACAGTGCATTTACTTGCATTGCAATTTGTCTTTCTCTTTGCCTTACCCATACCGATCGTTCAGGGCCAGTGACGTAATAAAAGTAATCGAAGGTTGCCCTGCCAGAGATCGTGCCCTACTTCCAAGTTGTCATGAGGGGCCATATCAGTCGGTCTCACCGCGCGCCCGTCGCGGGTGTGGGCGCGCGCGTGTCCGGAACGGAAAAGGGCACTACGTACACTGCTAGTAAGCACAGTACTGAATATCACTCGAGTCATTGAGGTGCGCGTCGAATCGACGGAAACGTTCTCCAGAGATTTCGGTCGGTCTTTTTGTATTGTCGTGACTGCTGGGGGTCATCAATTTTCTGACAGAAATGAAGAATGCGCCCTATCATCAAATGCCCAGCACAGTCCGGGTCAATTTCTGTACACTAAGTACTGCACATCATGGATACAGATCTATGCCATGTCCAGTGAAGTGCGCCAATCAATCTGTTCCAGTGTCTTGCTTACCGAAACAGGCAAATTATTGCCTAGCAGTTCAACCTAGCCCAGCTCAAACGGGCAATGCTCGAAGCAATGATCCATTGACCCCAATGATGGACTGGCTAGCTGGCTGGTGGGCCTGATCGATGCGAGGGAGGGGATTTCCGGCCGATATCGACGAGAATCCTGTACTGTACGTGGTAACATAACATTACATACAGGTAAGTCAGATCAAGTCAAGTACCTACATGTACTAGTGGTATCCCAGAGTGTAATTGGTACCATACGGTACCATACGGTAAGTAATGAGTGAACGAGGCTCACCTCCGAATTAGGAGACACACTGCCGGTGCCAACACATCAGAGGCTGTCTGAGGTATCTACAACTTTCTAATTGTACTGTACTGCACCGCACGCAGTATGTGAACAATAGACAAGGTTTCATCTACCCAGAGGTCAATCATCCTCCCCGCCTTTTCCTAACTAAAGAATCTCTGCTTGTCATCGTTCCAATGAAGAACAATACAAAATACACCAACCTGACTTATCTACTAGTAAATAGTAACCTACTGTATAACCATCCCGCGTCGTTAGTCGACCACCCACTCACCCACACCCCCCTTTTCCCTCCCCTAACCTCGTACCTGAAGTTCTGCAGTTCGCAAAGGAGAGCCGGGAGCAAGCAGCTGAAACGTGCCTAGTCCTCACACCTCAACTCACTTTAAAAACGCCCCCCTGTCTCATCATGTCTTCAGTGTTTTAGGGACTCGAAGACTCGAAGAACCACTTCTCCCCTCCTTTTCTAATTCTATTCTTGAGGATCCGATCATCCCCTGTCGCTGATCAGAGTTCCCCTAAAGCCCACGATCCACGATCTAGAGACATCACTTCTTGGGGATCTCAAACAGAGATGTCCCGCACACGGCCATAAGTTATCTTCCTTGATACTTCGAATCCTGACTTCCTGGGTTGTCGGAGTAGCAGGAGTAGTCAGCATACCGCGAACCCAGACTCTATAAATAACCCTCCTTCCCAGCCGGGCGCGATCTCCGCGGAAAGTCCTATTCCTATCGCCAGTGCTTGAAAAGAAAAAGTGAACAGCCACAGAATAACCCATGGCTTGCTACAATTCAGAGGACATGATGGTTCTTCTTTACTTATGCGCTTTTAATGCTGCATAAACATGATCGCGGGGGGTGGGAGGTCCAAGCCTCACAGGGGGGAATGATCATCCAACCCCCCCCCAATGTTCAGCCTATCACCGGAGATTCTAGTATATCCTACATCTAGTTCCTGGGCTGCGGTATACTAATTTAGATGGATGGTGAATGGACTTTAGGCTTACTGCGCTGTTTCTGCGCCTCGTTTCTACCCTAGTAAGCCCGGGCTGGTAACAACAGCCACAAGTTAAGCTGGCGGTAGGGACCGAACTAAAGACAGCACTAAGTTACCGGTACAGTAGTTATGTTTCTTCAGGCAAGGCACTTCTCATCTTTCTCGCCTTGATTTTGTCAAATCTGCGCAAGGACAGTCGGTGTTATCTAAGTATAATCACATAATCACCCTCATGTCGCCGATGTCCAGAGCCACTCTACTACACTACTCATGACTCTCAAGTGGGACCCTTGTACACGACAGCAATAGCTCAACCCAGGGTTCAAACCCACCATCATACCAGCCCTCCTTTTCCTACTGACACCAGCTAGTCAACTCAACCTAACTTACTGCGCAAGTTCACTTAAGTTATCATCAGACTTCAACAAGCGACACAGCCGCGCTACGCCGCCGCCCCTCGCCATCGCCACCACAGCCCCCCTCCCCCCTCAGCACTCAAAAGGAATCCTACCTTCTCCGTACACTTTACATAGTACATAGTCATTCATGCAACCATTCAAAGAAAGATCAATAATTAATCATACTAACCAGCCACTTCATCATCTTTTTACACTGTTCCTCAAGCTACGTCGACAACCACTGGCACTGGCAGGAGATCTCCCCATCCCCTTCTTCCACGCCTCCCCCCCGTTCGGAACAATAACACCTAGGTTACCGGAGTGACAGACGGGACCTATAGTACCTCCGTAGTGGTGCCGTTTTTGTTTAAAAAAAACCTGACTTACCCTTTCGGTTTTCCCTTTCCGAGTGTGGAGACCTTTTTTTCGCCAGTATCCCCGAGAGGACGAAAAGGCCTACCCCCCTATCGGCACCTCCACTCCCCCCCCCCACTCTGTAATACGTAACCCGTAACTCCCCTAGCTTAGCTGGTGGAGGAAGAAGGAACTCCGTAGACGTAGACGCAGACGTAAGTTAGACCTTTCCCAGACTTAAGTGGGTGGCCCCATGCCGGTGACTGACTGACTGACTGACAGTCTAGATACTCGTACGTACTGTAGTGTTCCGTACATAGGGAGAAGGGAGATAGGGGAAGGAGAGGAGTGGAGGAGTGGAGGAGGGGAGGGTCAAGGCCAAGCAAGCAAGGTTACTCCATACATTGGGGGATCGGGGGTCTATGGAAAGGGGGGATTGATGCGTACTGACAGTCAGGTACGGAGGAAGTCTGTGGAGCTAACTGGGACTCTTGTATTTGGTAAGTTATCAAGCAAAGGGAGTAGGTTAAGGTCATATGTACTGAGTAAGCAAAAACAATGTTGGTAGTTAAGTGTTTATTAGAAGAGGAGGTACAGGCTTCTGGTTGAACTGGAAATGACAGTACTCTCCCTACTTGGTATGATGTCTGGACCTGGGATTAAGCTGGAATATCGACTATACTTCTCCAGTGACCAGATACTATGTCGTGTTGAAGTAACTACAGATCAGCAGCTAACTAGCATGCTTCAGGTGCTGTGCTTTGGCTACCTACCTAGCTGGCTTACCTACTGTATAACCTGGTACTTAGGTCAGGTCATGCTCACTGATTACCGAATTGGGAAAAAGTAGACTGGCTTGGCGGTGCTGGAAGATCACTAGCAAAGCAAACTACACCGTAGCAAAAGCTAACCACATTCCCTCTGAGAGTGCTCCGTACCTGTGAGATTGACCTCCAGAAGCAGCAGTAGCTCGACGGCTCCAGCTCTGTCATGCAGTAAACCCTGGATCGCGCCCCAGTGGCTGGCTCACTCTCCGCTTCACCGCTTCACCGCCAGATGCCATGCCTCGGTGTAGGTCACGATGCGGGCGCGCACGACGCAACAACACCTGAAATGTTGCTACTACAACTAACGGTGAAACCTTCTAGGTCAGAAATTTCGTTATTCAATTCAATGCTTAGATATGCTAATGTAACACATGGATATCAGTACAGAGGGACTCAATCCCCAGTAGATCTACGTATATGAGCGTACGGCGCCTCCCTGGCTGACTAGCCATTTAGCCGGTCACCTTGAAGATGGACTCGGCAAGGCGCTTGACGTTGCCCGAGGTGATACCAGCCACGGAGATACGGCCATCCTTGGTGGCATAGACGGAGTGCTCCTTAGCCAGAACATCCATCTGCTCGGGCTTGAGACCAGTGTAGGCGAACATGCCAATCTACTTCGCTGTTAGCTGCCATTCGACGTCCCCGGTATTTCAAGGCGCTTACCTGGCTGGTGATGTGAGACCAGTCGTGCTTGCTGCCAAGCTCTTCCAGGTTCTTGCGGAGCAGGGCACGCATCTCAATGATACGGTCAGCCATACCCTTGACCTCACCCAGCCACTGCTGGTTCAGCTCGGGGTCGTTCATGATGGTGGAGGCGACACGAGCACCGTGGATGGGGGGGTTGGAGTAGAAAGGACGGATGAGGATCTTGATCTGAGACTCGACGCGCTTCTTCTCCTCGGCGGACTCGCAGACGAGGGAGAAAGCACCAACACGCTCACCGTAGAGACCCTACAAATGAAGAACGCATTAGCGATGAACAACCAGAGACAAAGCTTCCGAGCCTACCATGTTCTTGGCGAAGCTCTGGCACAGAGCGATGTTGTGGCCCTCCTTGACGAAGTGGCGGGGAGCGAAAGCATCCTGGTCAGCGTTTCCGCTGGCAAAGCCCTGGTAGGCCATGTCGAAGAAAGCAAAGTGACCCTTCTCCTTCATGACATCGCTGATCTTGCGCCACTGGTCCTGAGTGGGGTCGACACCAGTGGGGTTGTGGGCACAGGCGTGGAGGAGGATGATGCTGTTCTCGGGAGCAGCCTTGATGTCGGCGAGAAGACCCTCGAAGTCGAGACCGATGGTGTCCTTGTTGTAGTAGCGGTACTTGTCGACCTCGATGCCGGAGTCCTTGAACACGGCACCGTGGTTGGCCCAGCTGGGAGTGGGGAGGTAGATCTTCTTCGCGTGGGGGTAGAAGCGCTGGAGGAAAGCACCACCGATTCTCAGGGCACCGGTACCCGAGATGGTCTGAGTGATGACAAGGCGGTCCTCCTTGAGCACGGCGGAGTCGGAGCCATAGGCGAGCTCAGCAGCAGCCTTGGTGAAGGAAGGGATACCAGTGATGCCGGCATATTCCTTGTCCTGACGCGAGGCAACGACCTTGTCCTCGGCGGCGCGGACCGAGGGAAGGACGTAAGGCTTGCCCTTGTCGTCACCTGTATTAACACCCCGGATTTAGCTACTAATGTCCAAGGAGCCCTATCTGAAGGGATGCAATGATGGTGGAATCATCAACGAGATCGGAATTGATGGGAATGCTTACGGTAAGCACCAACACCGAGGTTGATCTTCTCCTTGAAGCTGTCGGCCTTGAAGGCCTCAGTGATACCCAGAATAGCATCCTATGAACCCAATGCATCAGCGATGGCTACAGGAATAG